GGATGGGGGGGAGGTTGGGCAGGTGGCTGTCTGGCAGTATCTTTTAGAAATTGCTTATATGGTTATGTTATATTGGCCGGCTGAATGTGCTGCAAAGATATTTATTTAATACCAGTATATATTTTTAAACTAAATTGAAGAAAATGATTTCTAAATTGAAGGTTGTAGTGGCATTTTGATTAAATTAAGCTCAAAAGTAACATATGCACCGCTTTTTAAATATGCTCATTCAGTGAAAGTAGTGTTTGGTGAAAAAAATCTGGCTGATGAAGTCGTACCTACCAAAACACATACAATTTCATCACAAGTTTTCTTAATCAGAGAGAATGAGTTTTTTCTCCTTTTCAAATAGGTCCTCCGTCTTTCTGCTGCTACTCAAGATTTACCAAAGTCCACTATATGCAATGTTCATGGTGTCAATCCAAAATTTCTGAAGATTGGGGAAAAGGTTGCTGCAGACCGTGAAGTCGGAGAGCAAGTATTCTCCAAGGGAGCATATTTCTTGGGCAAGATGGTTTGGGCAAAAGGGTACCAAGAATTGATTGATCTCTTATCGAAGCATAAGAAAGATCTTGAAGGCTTCAACTTGGATGCTTTTGGAAATGGGGAAGATGCTCAAGAAGTTCAGAGCGCAGCCAAACGGTTGAATCTAAATGTCAACTTCATGAAAGGCAGAGACCATGCTGATGATTCTCTTCTCGGGTAAGATAATGCTTAAGGCAATACACTCGTACGAGGTATTTATTTAATGTCTTGTTTAGCTTTTGGTAAATGCCCATTAAACCTCCTTCGCTTCTTACTTTCAATGATATTTTGGGTCATAAATGCAGCAATGCTCAAGGGTCTAACCCAGGGGTAAGGTTGTGTTCATATTTACCCTCAAATCCCAATTTGGGACCAAATTGGGGTTTAAGTCTTAAAATGAATAACTGTTTTAGGTCAGAGCAGTCAATTATCTCCCTCGTCTGATTTTGACATATATTTTAAAAATCACAGTTACAAGGTGTTCATAAACCCCAGCGTAAGTGATGTGCTCTGCACCGCAACGGCCGAGGCTCTGGCAATGGGCAAATTTGTGGTGTGTGCAGATCACCCATCGAACGAGTTTTTCATGTCATTCCCCAACTGCTTGACATACAAATCCCCAGAAGAGTTTGTGGCAAAAGTGAAAGAAGCAATGTCGCGCGAGCCCCTGCCACTAACTCCAGAACAAAGATACGAGCTCTCATGGGAGGCCGCCACCCAAAGATTCTTGGAATGTTCCAACCTCGACACGGTTTTAAACAACGGCGATGACAACAAAAGAAGAATAAGAAGAAGAAATGAGAAGAAAGGATTTGTGAAATCGAATTCCATGCCCAACTTGGGAGATATGGTTGACAGTAGCCTGGCATTTGCCCATTACTGTTTCACGGGTAACGAGTTTTTGAGGTTGTGCACCGGCGCGATCCCTAATTCGCGGGACTACGACGAAGAGCATTGCAAAGATTTGAATCTCCTCCCTCCTTCTCCTCCTCCTCCTCCTCCTCGAGTGGAGAATCCGGTTTTAGGTATATAGATTCTTGAGAATAAGTCACCTCTGTACATTATTTTTGTTTCTCTTGTTGGTGTGTATTATCTATCATACATTCATATGTGTATATAATTCATTTTACTCGTCACTACACTGGAAGGACTTTGTAAGTTTTGAGGCTCTTTGTCTCTCCTCTATATGTTGTTGCCTACATACATCCTTCCTAGATTGTATGAGCATGGGATTCTACTAGATTGTTGTTGTATTAATACCAATGAAATGATATTTTGAAGGTTCTTTTTTTTAGAAGAAAAAAGTAATACTCGTATCATTTTTGTATTAATGTGCAATTCAATTTTAATTTAATATTGAAAATTAAAATTTATCTAGTTTGAAAACAAAAGCTCGTTTAAAATTTACTAAATGACTAAATAATGTTATGCAAAGAGATTTATTTTTTTGATAAACTCTTATGTGGTCTTTAGGTGAACATTCATTTTATGAATTTTAAACGTGAACCTTCTCAATTCTTACATACGGTATATTTTATGAGTTCATAGTTTGATATTTTTCATTTTACAATGCCCAATACAACTAACCATTTCATACATTAAAGTTCATAAACATGAGTATGGACTTAAGGATTACAAAAAATTTACATAAACGAAAAGCAAAATAGGAAAAAAAAGGAGTCTCCAATGTTTTTTCGTAAATATTTTTATCGCCCCTAGGTCCATATTCACTTTATAAACATTAGTGTTGAGATGGTTAAATGTCTTGTTGCGCATTGTAAAAAGGAATATATCCGATTATCAGCTCATGCAATATATGTGAGGATTGAGAATGTCCACATTTTATATGTGAATCTTAGGAGCGTTATAGACTTATAACACAACTCTTTGGTTTATTATGACAAAATAAGATTTTTGATCTGTCTTACTTTATTTTCATTATTTTTGTTCAATTTTTTAATGAAAAAGAAAAGAACACCAGAATCAACCACTAATCCACTATTTTGTTTTTTTAATATGTCTTAAAACTATCTTGGTTTTTCATAGTTTACACTTTTTCTTCGTCAAGTATATATCGATAGCCAATTTAACAATTTGATAAAATAATCAAACTACAAGAACTGTATGACACGAAGAAGCAAATATATACCATCTTCGTCTATTTTGAATCTTCTCAATTTTAGTTAGGGTCAATTTTTTAAACAATGATTACAAACTATAGAAAAAATATACTCCCTCCGTTCCAAAATAAGGTTTAGTGTTTGACTTAGCACAAAATTTAAGAAAAATAAAAATATGTGACTGAAAGTGATGCAGATGAGAGAAAAATTATGAGCTACTCAATTTTTTTCATATAAGGAAAGAAGAGATTTTTTGGGACACCTCAAATAGAAAATAAAGAGTCTTTTTTGGGACAGAGAGTATTAAATTGTTATATAAATTTAATATCAATAAGTTCATTTTAGAACATAGTTTTGAAATATTTAATGTATAAAAAAGTCTAAAGATATGGATGATTAAAGTTCTGCACTAAAGATAGTAAAAAGACAACTAGAAAGAATGGATGGAATTAATCATAAATATATTGATTCTCTCTCTTCTCTATAAATCTCAATAAAGTACTTCTCTGTCCTACAAAACTTTGTCTGTTTAGAAAAAGTTACGTTTTAAAATATACTTTTTAGTCCCATAAAATTTTTTAGGCACTCCATTAGATGTCTTGGTCTTCGTGAAATTCTGTGTCCCTTCTTGAATATTTCAAATAATTTGGCACTTCAAGTCTTTGTGTTTCTCAATGTAGCATTTTATTCTTGACTTGAATAACTTGTATTTTTCAATTATCAAAATCTGCGAGTCAATACTTAACAGTACAAAAAGGGTTGAACTCATGCATTCCAACACTGTGTGCGTGATTGCCCGAGATTTCTTTCAGAACTGGCCGTATAGTTAGCTAAAAGTAAGTTAATTGAGTTATAATTTCAGTCACTAAGTGAAGAGGTGGAGAATAACATCCCAAAACAAGGCCTAGAAAGATTTAAGTAAAATGATAATAATACTGAATAAATTTTAATAATTTAGTTTGATAAATTAAAATTAATACAATAACTTTGGAGTCCAAGATATATATTTTTATTGTTATAATAAAGACAGAGTATATGTCACAATACACACACACACATACATAATTTGTTCTTTCTATTTCTATATATCAATTTATAAATAAAATAAATTTTAAAAAATGTGATTTTGTACATTGTTTGAAGAGTGAAGATCTTTGAAGGATGGAAGAAATACATATTTAAAAAATACATCAAGTTTTTTACGGAATAAGAAGTAACATTACTAGATTATTTTAAGAAATAGGTAATAAGAAAGTGAATACAACTTGACTTTTGAAGTAATAAACATATAAATTAACTTAGGAAGAAAGAAATAAAAATTTAAAAATAAAATTTATATATTTGAAAACTAAGAGTACTCCGTATATTAAACTTTCAATTTTCTTTGGGGACGGATTAAGCTATGAGTATACAGTTTAAAAATATTTGCACTAAATAGCACTAAAACTTAAATCATTTTCCTAAATAGCACTTAAACTGTTTTATTCTCTAAATAATACTTAATAATGTTTAAAAGGAGAAATAATGTCCAGTGATGACCAACATTTACTTGAATAATGACTAATGGATAGTGACTAAAAATGCTAAATTTGGAAAAAACACATATGATGCTATTTAGAGAAAGTCATTATGTTTTAGTGCTATTTAAGTAAATTTCCTACCGTTTAATACTCCACCATGCGGGCGGTACACTCTTCCCTACCAAGTCCCACGCCATTGTTGTTCCTCAATGCTCCGCTAGCTTCGCAGAACGCTGCTCGTACCCTCAAAGCGTTGTCGACATTCATAACACCGCGCGCTCTTGCAAATGATCTTTTTTTGTGGATGTCTCTGTTCTTCCAAATGATCTTTCACGATTCCATCGCAACGGAGCATGTGATTGCGTTTCTTGTTGTTGTTGTTGTCATTGTTGTTGATGATGTGACGACGATGACGAAGAGGAGACTGCGACTTTAGTCATCGTAGTCGTCCTAGTTGCGGGCTTTTTGAAATGCGCTTTCTCAGAGAGCTCGACGACGAGTTTTGAGATGCCATTAACGGAGTTAGTGATGTCGATCAATATCGACGTGACGGCGAGGCAAGGCAAGATCTGGAGGAGCTGATCCTCCATTGATAACGACGTCGTTGTCGAGCTTCGAACTGCGATTTCAAGATCATTAATGGCTGCTCTTGAGTTTAGGAGGTGGGCTAGTGTAGTTTTAGAGGGAAGGGTCATGGTTTTGATGGTTAATGATAGCCCTTTCAATGCTTTGCTTGATTCGAAGCACATTCTCTTGCATGTTTCTTCAATTCTCCTCTTGAATTTCATTGATGCCTGGTTTCGTTCCATGCCATATAGCAATACACAACATTAATTTTTATTAATAAACACTAATAATTTAGTAGGTGTTCATATATTCTCAACACATTAACCACTCTTTCATACGGGAGAGTCACCATTATTCCGCTAGAGTACAAAGTTGAGTAGTAGTGTAACATTGAAATCCGATGTCATATTAAAATATTGGTCCTATTGACGCACCTACTATGCTTCGTTCAATCCAAAAATGATTTGTATCTCCTCAAGTTTGATAACATTTTGATCAAAATTTTGACTAAAACGTCAACCAACCTTTGAGGGTTTAAGAGAAGGGGAGACGGGAACGGAGTATTGTAGATATCAGATATCATAATTATACTCACTCCATCCCAAAAAAGACTCTTATTTTCCTTTTCAGATCTTTTAAAAAGGATTGATTTTTCCTATTTGTAAAACATTGAGTGACTCGCAATCTTTCTATTTTCTCTGTATCATTTTTAATCATATATTTTACTTTTTTAAAGTTTTGTGTCAAGACAAATCAAGATTTTTTTGGGACGCGAGTATGAAAATCATGGAATTGATGAGAATAGTGTCAAAAGAGTGTTTAATGAACAAAGGGAATTTACGTAAATAGCACTAAAACATAATGAATAAAGAGAGCAGGCCTGATCATTGGTGTTTAAGTAACCACAAAGAGCCTCGAGATGAGAGGCACATTCCCTAGCCAGAGCTCCCACTTTTAGGTAGTGCTTCCATGGGTGACGAAATCTAAACTCTCCATGCCCTATTTCCCACCATGCAAAGTTTGCCTGCACCACATATACACATATATGCAAATAATAATGCACACCAATTTATGTCATATACTCACCAATTTCTAATGATATGAGTTTAATTTAATAGCCACCTAAGTTTTCCATTTATCAAAATTCTTCATCTTTCATTTTCTTTCATTAAAACACTTCCACTATCGATTAAAAAACTATTTTTATCCCTACTTAATTATAATCTATCCATCACATCTTACTTTTATCCATCTTATCAAGGATAAAATTGGAAAGCCAACTCCTAATACCCTTTCCTTATTTTTGTCCAAAGCCAATAATAGAGGAATGATTTTCCTAAACGAATGGCATAGAATGATAGTGAGATTCGGACTAAAAACTTACGAGCAAGATTTTGATATCATGTCAATTAATTAAATTAACCAAAAAAAAATCAAACTTGCGGTTGTATGATATGCTCTGAAAAGTCGTTATATACTCTAGCTAACAATGGGAAAGATAATAATTAGTGAGGTAAAAGTGAGTTTTTAATAAGAAAACGAAAATATTTCTTAAAACAAATAAAAAATGCAAGTAAGAAATATTTTTAGGAAGAAAAAGAAGTACTCCAATTAAGTGTGTAAATTTTCTTACCAAAGATTCCTCAGAAGCCTTGGAATTGAGTACCGATCTATGGTGTTGAGCAAATGAGTAGTCACTTTGGGCGGCTCTTCCTTCCCCTTCCGGAAACCTAAAATATGAACTTCCAAACCCTAAAACAAATTAAAGGGTAATTATATTATTATTCTCTCCATCTCAACAAAAAGTTCTACTTTAAACTTGACATGAAATTTAGAAAAGTAAAATTGTTTTGTTTAAAGTAATGTGGAGAAGAAAAAATTAAAATTAAGAACCACAAATGAATGCCTAAAAATAAAAAGTGAAACTATTTTTTAGACATATAAAAAAGAACTCTGAAACCTTAGGTTAAACCTTTTTATGAGACACGAAGTCTAACATTGTAGTTGATCATCAAGATAAAATTAAGAAGTACATGTACAGATAGACTTCTTTAAAAACTTAACTAAATCACAC